CCTCCAACAATATCCAGGAACCAAAATAATCAAATAACATTCCAATAACCAAAGGTGTAACAACAACAACACTCTTCATGGAGAAGTGACACCATTTAACACGGGTCTTACGAGAATATATCAAACAGAGAGAATGGCATTTTTAGAATGCAGGGGTGTTTAGTTGTATCATCCCCTCATCACCCATATGCATACAGAGTGTATCTCAAAAAAATATTTATAGTGGTAGGTTCCTTTTTTATTTAAAGCTTTCGTGACTGCAGGGATTCATATTTTTTTCAATATATTTTTTATTATTGTATTATTTCCCTTCTACGTGACTTTACCGAAAGAACCAAGAATATGGTAGGTTCTTATTCCTCACCAGCGCCCTTTCACACGTACGTTATACAATGGCAGGGTTTGCCATTTTACATGACGCCCACCTCATTAGTCTTACACAGTTGCACATGTAACAGACTGACAAACACAACCAAGGTTCGACTTTGCTTCATGTGAGTGCCTCCCCCTCGTTCCCATCGATTTCTATCCAAAGAGCATCTACATGTGAGTTCCATGCTTGGTCCTCCAACCTCGGAGACTCGCTTGGTTCAGCTTAATAAATCTCCTCTTGTACAATAAACACGGACCATCGTTCGTGTCATTGCCTCCTGCTCCTGAAACACTAATATACATTCTAGATTTGAAGCTTTCGTGACTTCAAGGATCCATACTCTTTGGTTCTATTCGGTAAAGTCACGTAAAAGTATAAAACAACAAAAAAAAACACAACCAAGGCCGAAACGTCGTGAATTTTTTATTTTTTGTTGTTTTATACTTTTACGTGACTTTACCGAATAGAACCAAAGACTAATATACATTATAAATGTATATTGTTAATGTAATTCTTCCTTATACTACGCATAAGTATATTCACTCGCCACTACCTCAAATGCGAATGTAATGCGGTAAGATGATGTTCTGTTGAACTTTTGCTTCTTCAATGCTTGCTTTTTACAAGATGCCCCCGAAATGCTGTTAGCCTGCCTCGGAATATTTATTCTCCGCCATGCGGTTTCAGCTCTGGTCACCCAGGAATTATTTTTTAAGGGCAGGTCCTTACCCCTTGTTTGCAATCACCTCTTCCCTTTTGGACTTCAAATTCCGTCATATTGGGGTTATCTACACTTCAAACCACTTTTCAACAGGTCATAAAATTTAATTTCAATTTTCTGCCCAGCGACAAGATACACTTATGTTGCATGTTACGTAAAATTGTACACATATTTCCTCCCAATTTCTATATTTTATACCTTTTATCTCAATACAGCGCTAACTTATAAACATAAGTCTTATCTTACTATTTCTTGTCAAAGTCTCCCTTCTCTGACCTCACTGCATCTCTATCTGTTGTCTACATATCTTCTTCTTCTTTGGTTCTTTCGGTAAAGTCACGTAAAAGAAGATGAATCCTTGCAGTCACGAAAGCTTTAAATCGATACATATCTTCTGTCATATATATTCTTTGGTTCTTTCGGTAAAGTCACGTAGATAGAAAAAATAACAATGAAAATAAAGTGAATAAAAATATCACGACGTGTCGATCTCAACACAAGCGGTCGTCATCAGGAAAAGAAGTTAGCCTCTAAAGGCAAACAGTTTATAAAGGTTTGTAGATGGGCGTAGCCCAAGTGTATCAGCAGCACCAGCAGCATGGGTGGGGCAGCAATGCCAATGAAGCAGCATTGCCAATGTAGCAGCAATGTCAATGCAGCAGCAATGCCAATGCAGCAGCAATGCCAATGCAGCAGCAATGCCAATGCAGCAACAATGCCAATGCAGCAACAATGCCAATACAGCAGCAATGCCAATGCAGCAACAATGCCAATGTAGCAACAATGCCAATGAAGCAGCAATGCCAATGCAGCAACAATGCCAATGTAGCAGCAATGCCAATGCAGCAGCAATGCCAATGCAGCAGCAATGCCAATGCAGCAACAATGCCAATGCAGCAGCAATGCCAATGCAGCAACAATGCCAATGTAGCAACAATGCCAATGAAGCAGCAATGCCAATGCAGCAGCAATGCCACTGCAGCAGCAATGCCAATGCAGCAACAATGCCAATGCAGCAGCAATGCCAATGCAGCAAAGGGCCACCAGAAAATCACTGCACCCCACTCCACACACCACACTACTGACGGTGGAGGTTGATTGACAAGAAAACACAAGTAACTCATGACCCAAAGTGGTTGATGACATCTTTCCAATGATAGCTGAGTCTATAACATTTGTAGACTATTGAGGTATACAAGAGACATACATAATTGTATTAGATTGGGAAAAGTCATTTGCTAGGGTTGAATGGACATTTATTTCCTCTACCATGTAGCAAATGGGTCTAGCCGGCACTTGTATTCAGCTCTGCTATTACATATACATCCCTTGGCTAAGGTGTAACTAAGAATGTTGCCTTTCTTCATTACTTTATGCAATACCAGCCAAGCCTAGCCTTAGCCACGGGCTGCAAGGAAGAGGAATTGATATTTGCTGTACTTCCTCGACAGACATTGAAACGTATGATCTCAATGGGGTCCATAAATCGTACCCTTAAGCGACTGATGTACAAGTGTGTATAACCTATGTTAAATAACCATATCAGCAGCTTGAGCACCAAAGCTAACTCCAGGCCGCCCGAAACTTTCACTTGCAGTTTCCTCTCAGGCAGGATTGGATATTGGCAGAGGCCACTGTTTCAGTGCTACACCCCTTTAACTGCTGTGGTAAGATTTGGAATTATCATTTGGTAACTGTTGTGAACACAGACTTCTGCCAACTCCAGGGCAATGGGCCAAGTGTAATCCTGTTGTTAGGCACACACTACCGATGAGTAGTTTTCACATGAACCAAAATAATTGAACAGGGCAAAGTTTGGAAAATGTATGATGAACCTTACACATTGGTCAAGTTGGAAACCAGGGCTCAAGCCTGATGTAATTTTGTGGAGAAAACATGTTTTTCGTGAAAATATGAAAATGCCAATACGGGGAACAGCAGAAATGCTTAATCATCGCCATCATTACGATCAATGGGCAGATAGCCCTTAGGTGTCTACTGCACATCTCATAATTTGTTTTCACTTTCCTCTGTCTTGTGCCAATATGCTTAAGTGTAGTGCCCATCTGTTGTCATCACGCCATTCTTTGTTACGTTTTCCTCGCTCTCCCGTTCCTTCCATTGTTCTGAACAACACACTGTTAATGTTCCTGTTGTTACTCTTTGGTTCTTCCGGTAAAGTCACGTAGGTATAAAATAAAATAAATTAAATCACGACGTTTCGGGCGCAACACAAGCGGTCCGTCATCAGGTGGGGACAACCGCAGCAGGAAACAATTGCTGAAGTGGGCAAAAGGACTGCCGTAACAAGAGGCTATATAGGTAAGAGAGAGGGGGAGGAGCCAGGGAGGAGAGATAGAGAGGGGGGCGTGGGGTAGGGGAAATGGAGCGCTGCCAAGTGAGGCGCTGCTAGAAGGGATTAAAGGGCGAGTCCGGCAAAATGCCGGGGGAGGGGGGGGGGAAGTGAGCAGGGCTGGGAGTGGGAGGCTGACGAAGACTGTATAATATTTTGCTGGGTTTTTTCATGGATTTTATGTTTGCACAGTCACATAGTCACTTTAAGATGTTTTCTTGTTCGTGTTTTTGTTTTTTTTTGTGTTGTGGTTGCACCCAATTCAAGAGCCGAATGGCTCACAGGGCTATACCAAAATAAACTGAACTGAAAAAAACTGAAAAACTGAAAGATGCGGATATGAAGGCAACACCATAAAGCAGTTAAGGTTTTACCTGGTTAATAACATCCTTCCAATGATTGCTCAATTTGTATCCATCTTCTCGATTGAAGTTATGTCTATGTTTATATATCTGGATGGCTTCATGAACAAACCTTTGATAGTAGCCCAGTCTTCGTCAGCCTTCCATTCCCAGCCCCGCTCACTTCCCCCCCCCTCCCCCGGAATTTTGCCGTACTCCCCCTTTAATCCCTTCTAGCAGCGCTCCACTCCCCCTACCCCACGCCCCCCTCTCTATCTCTCCTCCCTGGCTCCTCCCCCCTCTCTGACCTATATAGCCTCTTGTTACAGCAGCCCTTTTGCCCACTTCAGCAATTGTTTCTTGCTGTGGTTGTCCCACCTGATGACGGACGCTTGTGTTGAGCCCGAAACGTCGTGATTTAATTTATTTTATACCCTACGTGACTTTACCGAAAGAACCAAAGAGTATGGATCCCTGGAGTCACGAAAACTTTAAATCTAGATTGTTCCTTTTGTTGTCCATCCTACTAAACGTGTGTCCAAATAGTGCCAGTTTCCTTCTCATCTCTGCCTGCATCACATCTTCTGCTATGTGTCACCTTTTTCTTACTTCTGTTGATCACTCTTTGGATCTGGTTTAGATGCATTAGCCTTCTGTAACAATACAATTAGAATGCCAAATATTTTATCGCTGTCAGTATTTTTCAATGTCCAGGTCTCACAGGCATACAAAGCTGTACTGAACACGCATGTTCTTAAGATGTTCAGTTGGGTCTTGTAGCTGATTTACTTGCTTCTCCGCATGCCTCACTACAAGGTAAATGTGGTACTTGAATAAATGTTGATGGTCAGAGAAATTCCATATCTTCCATAATAGAGGTTTGGTGGCGGGTTTTAACGACACATTTATATATTTACGCGATCTAACCCCAAAACAAACCTCTTATGGATGATATTGGTCGCGAAAGTCTATCTGTTAAACCAAATTCCATATATGTTAGCCTATCTTATCCCTTTCCACATTTATCCACACCGTCAGCACATTTTTAATTGGGACGGTTACAATTAAAGAGAATAAAATGTTTTTTAAAAGTGTACTGTTGGCACCCACTTTCATGTATAGGCACAATATAAATTATGTTTTAAAGAATATATGAATGCTGATTCTTTTTTAACGGTGTTTTTTTTTGTTTGTTGTTGTTGTTTCACGCAGGCCTGTTTCCTGATGAATAACATCCAGCAATTGCGTGTACAACTGGAAAGGATGTTCCAGGCCATGGGGGGCAAAGAGGTCAGCATCACTGGAATCCGTTATGCTACCCCATCTGACTGCAATTAAAATTGTATATCTTAATTGCTAGCACACATATAAACGAGACAATTTTGATGATTAATGTGAGAAATAAACAGTTTTCTTGTAACACATTTCAGAATTAATATTGTACATTGGAAGGGGTGTAATACCAATTATGGATGGAATTATTAAATGGTTAATCAGCTAGAGCTATGAATACATTTTTTGGACATGCAGCATTACATTTTTGTTCACTCCTATTAATAAAAAAATGTATACTTTGCAACTTGTTATAGTAAACTAAGATAAACAAATCTGCATAGAGAATGGGAGTTAGAATAGGATTAGAACAGATCACCATCGGCCATTATATTTTGGACGTTTTTTCTTGGAAACTGCCATGCGAAGGTTTTTCTGCAGAGGCTTTTATTGCTGCACTCTCCGTCCAGACGCAAAATTAGATTTTTTAATCTGAAAACCAAAATCTCCATTTTTTATTTGGAGGGCTACGTTTTTGAACGTTTTTTTTATCCACACCAATAAAAGCTTGTATCTGGAGCTCGTTTTTTAAAGAGAGCTGAATATAAATATATTTGGCTATAGTTAAGGTACTTGTTTAAAGAGTGTGTGCTAACGCCAATAAAAAGTGGTCAAAGCCTTCTCACTACCAGTTACTACTGACTTGTAAACCCGAATAATTTTAACACTTCCTAGATTGCTACCATTACTCACTGCTGTACCATTATCGTACCATTATTGCAACATATTCAGTCTTTCCAAAACTTCAGATGAAATCCAACATACTGCTTTTCGTTACTTAATTCATTTCTACATTAAACCCAACACCGTAGATAGCATCTATACACTAAACAATACACCAATGAATACAGTTAAAATGTACTTAAAGTGGCTTGCTTGCTTTGCTTAAGCTTTGTATGTAGCCACCTTGATCTGCTCCTTGGAAGCATATACACGTCGGTCTGGCCGATGTATTGTCTGAGCTCTAAATATAATGATTTGGGTGTTGAACAATAAACATAGAGAAATTTAACATTTCAAATATATCAGAATTACAATCTTTATTTAAACTGGAGGAATCCAATGAGCTATGTAGCTCGTTTTCACAGTTGTGCCAAATTGGGGCAGGTCAGCAAGTTACAACAACAAATAATATGCCAAAATGTGAAGTTGAAATGCCTGGCCTTAACATATTATACCCTAAACTTGTACAAACAAATGTGTTTGCAGCCATAACAAACAGTGACAATGGTGATATATATGGCTGAAAACAAATGTGTTCGCAAACAAATGTGTTCGCAGCCATAACAGTGACACAGGTGATATCTATGGCTGCAAACAAATATGTTCGCAAAAAAATGTGTTTGCAGCCATAACAAACACATTTGTTTGCAGCCATAACAAACAGTGACACTGGTGTATCTATTTCTGCAAACACAGGTGTTTACAAACAAATGTGTTTGCAGCCATATATGTCACTATTGACACTGGTGGAGGGGTGAGTTGGGGTGAATGCAGTGCTTTCTGTGCATTTCTTTGATCCTTCGCTTTTGTCTAATATTTCGGTCCCTCTCTCCCCCCTCTGATGCCCTCTGAAATTATGCGCACCCTTACAGCTTTGAACCGCAGCAGCCACCCCGATCACCAGCCTCGGCCTGGTTGTGAACTTATATTTCCAGATGATGAGTCAAAGAGCTTTGACTCATCATCCACTTGCTAAGCTGCACCCAGCTTACGAAATGGATATGACTCGTTTAGCCTTATTTCACTTCAAACTAAAATGAGCCGTGTTACAGAAATATGGAGCACAAAGGAGCTGAGAAAGCAGTATGATATAGTGAGAGCTTCTTAGTATGTTCCAATGAAGATTCTGATCAGAAGGGCATTGGTTTCTAGGGGGGTGGGGGGGATGTCAGGAGTGGGAGAGGACATTAGTGCACCCGGGGGAGCTTGTATAGATGTGGATGAAAAGATGTGGAGTGTAAAGCAGGCGTAGGGATTCTCATTCGCTGTAAAATGACATGCATTACAAAGTTTCTGTCATTCTGCCAGTAAACGAGCTGCTAATTTTAATGATAGGATTTATAAATCTAGCGATATAATGGCACCAACTGAATTTCCGAATACTGTATGAAAGAACAGGTGTACGATTGAATACAGCATTAAATAAGATAACCAAGCATGATGTGCTGCTCACCATCATCATAATCAGCCATGATCTATTCACTTTGGGATTAAGGTCTCTCCACGCTTCTGCCATTACTTATAGTCGTGCTACATCTAGCTTCTGCAACAATTTATGTACTTTTAGGCATGTTCCCTCCGTTTGGCTGCCACTAGTTTTTGGCCCATCCATTTTCTGTGACGCACGCTGCCCAAGCCCACTTTCTTTTGTCGAGTCCACATGTCTGCGCAACTTGCTGGCGTTCGCTGATCCAAGTGTTTCCTCCGTCGCACGGATGTAAAATCTAAGCGTGCACTTCTTCATACCTCTTAGCGCGCACTTTTTACGTTTCGTTCCACTGTGTCACGACCGTGTTTAAAAATCCGTACGTCCGCACTCACCTCAAGACCCGAAGACATCTAGACAGCACCCTGGGACTTCCGACCCTCGGCCCTTGTCAGGGCCAGGTCCGAACGGCCCAGTGGCGGCACCCGTTACCCTGGCAATGTCGCGTGAGCATAGCCTCCCCTAGGTCCCTTAGATGGAGGAATTCCCGATAGCAGAGTATAGTGTGAGGGCACACTAAGTGTGAGGACGTATCCTCTAGGCTATCGGTTGGGAGAGGCCATTACCTCTCTGTTAGGGACGCTCTTTGTCGTTAGAGTGAGTAAACGGTGTTGCCTACAAAGAGGAGTCTCTGCCTACTTTGTCATCATCCGTACGTCATGGCAATTAATATACACCGATCAAAAAACTGAGCAACATGAACTTGACAATGAAAAGTTGTATACCATTTTGTAAAAAAAAAAAACATTTGGTTTTAATTGGTCCTTACCACCCGCTTTAACATGGTTCAGAAACGTGGTCATTCGTGGGAATTTTGGAACAAAACCAAGCATGTGCATAGAAGCGTGGAATGAAGCTTTCTTGGAATTATATTGAAAGACAGAAAGAGGAATACATGTATTATAGAACATACACAAGTAAACGGCTTAATTCAAACTAATTAACAAAAGTGGGCTCTGGCAGGACATTACGCTGTAAGGGATGATTGACCATGGTCAACAATAATGTGGCAACCAAGAAATGGAACGCATCCGATGGTGACGTCCTCCAAGAAGATGGAGCAATGAAATCAGTTTGCGTTCAGGTGTTAAGTGGATTGTTACATAGTGGGAGGTGGCAATGGCATGGGGAGGCCTTCATTCAGTAGTATAGTGACCATGGCTGATGATCACCATGATAATACAAAAAACATTCTTTATTTACATTGGTATGTTGATTTTTCCTATTAAGTTCAGGTTTTCAAAGCATCCGGCCTGCTCTAGTCCACCTCTATAATTCATTATTTCCATCCTCATCTTCCTTTAACTGCTCCTAAGCATGTCGACTCTCATGTGGTTTCCAGTTTTGTCCCTCAAACAGATATCATATTACATTATTATTAGAGAAGAGCAGGATGTCTATTTTAAAGGCTAAGGTTATGAAATGGGCTTATTTGACCATTACATATTTTTTTTCAGAATCTAGACAATTGGGAAAAAATATGAGAAGTGTAAGTCGGTACCTTTACACAGAGTTAAATATCCCGAGTGAGACAGCATTTTCAATAACAAGGGGAGATGACAATGCTTGTGGCCTACTACGGTGCGAAAGAAGTTCAACATACATAGCTTAGTTATAACTGTTAATTTTAAAATACATTCAATGTAACGATTAATACGTTTCATATGAATAGTTTAACTGTGACCAGGCCGGATTACAGTCAAAACTATTACTTCTGCATTAAAATTTGACATTCCACTCTTTTTTTTCTGTGGGACATGGCTCAAATATAACCCACAGCCCTAATATTGTGGAATTAATATTGATCAAAGCCTGACTTTTCAGAATCATCATTTTCTCTCAACTGTACTTTTTCTCCAGGTTATCCCAAGCAACACATTATATAGTAATGGAGTACATTACCACACAATTCTTGAAAACCGATCCCAATGACTAACTACTGGATTTTTTTATTAATATAAATAATCTGGATCCGATACATAAAATCACGGATTTTATTGGATAATTTCAGGGTCCTATTTATTTTACATACTGATTCATACGTTTATGTTTAAAACGCAGTGAGAACTTTCAAAGCCAGGCTAATTATAGTTACGTGGTATGTCTGGCATACTGAAAATAATACATATCAGGTAATGAAATATTATATTATTAAAATGTAATAAATATTAACTGTAGATAGCATTCACTGTATAATAATGCAAAGAAATAACGATTGCACATTTGAAGCCATGAAGCAGTGGTGGAAGACTAAAGGAATTTTCTGACACGCTTGAAGAATTAATGTCACTTGTAAAATAAATATCTAGTTAAGCGGACACGAGAGCACCTACAAGATCAGCGTCAAATGGTATAGGTTGGCTAAATTCCATACAACAGATAAGTGTATAGGTTGTATTATCCCTAGTGCGCATACGAATGCAGTCTCCAGCTTGCATTGTGCCCAGTGTTGGTTGTAAAAAAAAAGACCCAGATTAGCTAGAGGCCAATATGTATTTGTATACTGTTATTCTTAATCGATAAAAACGACCAATGGAGGTTTTTCTGGGGTTAGATCGCGTAAATATATTAATGTGTCGTTAAAACCCGCCACCACCCGACACAGCCAATTAGTAATGGTTGTCACGTAAACAGAACGTGGCCAATTCGTCAATTGTACAGCACACTGGTGTGTTGGAGAGCCAAGCCACAACACTGCTGCATCATAATCCTCGATGATAACAACATCAATGCTGCGTTATATTGTGTCTTAATGTGCTCACATCTCAAGACACTGTACATACACAGTGAATACATATTCTTGGTTCTTTCGGTAAAGTCACGTAGAAGGGAAATAATGAGATAATACAAATTAAACAAAATTCTCACGACGTTTCGCTTGCAACACAAGCAATAATCAGGTTTTCACACCTGATGATGATTGCTTGTGTTGCAATCGAAGGTGTGAAAACCTGATGATTATTGCTCGTGTTGCAATCGAAACGTCATGAGAATTGTATTGTTTTATTTTTATTATTTTATTATTTCCCTTCTACGTGACTTTACCGAAAGAACCAAGAATATGAATCCCTGCAGTCACGAAAGCTTTAAATCGAAAAAGTGAATACATATTTAATCAAAACATATAAAGGAAAAGAGTCATGCTGCCAACGGAGCCACGGCAGAGCCAGTAAGAGTCAATTCTAGATTTGAAGCTTTCGTGACTGCAAAGATCCATACTCTTTGGTTCTATTCGTTAAAGTCACGTAGGTAAAAAAATAAAATTTGTTTTATTTATTGTTTTATGTTTTTTACCTACGTGACCTTACCGAATAGAACCAGTAAGAGTCCCCCGTATGTGGAATGGGTGCCAAGCAAGGTCCAGGAGATGGTTCTGGAACTCAACAGCAATTGGGATCAAAACAATAGAACACACAGTAGTAGACGCAACACACTAACAAAAAAATTATAACGGAGGGATAACAAAGGGGGAATATCGCTTCAGGGTTTGTCAGCGGAAACCCTCAGCGTTCAGCTACCTAAGCCAATTGAGGAGGTGTGGAGTGCAAAGTCAGGCACAACCAAACGGTGGCCATCTTCTCGCTGTCCTGCTTAGTTATTATTGATTTACTTTTTTAAACGGCAATTTTCACGATTGACCACCTTATTTCCAACCTTTAGACTGAAATGTTTTGGCATTTGCAAAAAAAAGGACTAGGCTGGTTTTCAAATCATCTTGGGAGAATGAAATAACGTGCAGAATTTGAAAATAATTCATCAGACTTTTCTCTTACTGCAAAGGTTAATCTACTTTTGTTCTTACAGTTCAAATAGATCAGTCAATAAAGCACTTTAATACTATATATGCTACTCGCCTACATCATTTGCAATTTAATTCAAACTAAATTACAGTTTTAGTTCAATAACATTAAAAAGGTGTATATTATTAAGATGCTTTCTAAATGCAAGTAAGAAAAGATGTTCAACACCTACCAGCCCTAAATCATCCATAACACAAAACACTTGTGCAATGCCATTAAACACATAACATAGCTCTAGCATGGAAAATATCCTTCAAATGTGTAATGCCTCTACAAAACCTTAGAAAAAGCAGGTAAAAATCTCAATGGATATAAATCATGTTCTTATTATCCAATTTCCATCAACTCCTTGCCTCCAACATATTGATTATGGTGACATGATTTATACGTCTGCTCAAATCAAGCTTCAAATAGACTAAACTAATTTTTCCATTTGGCCCTGCAATTTCAAACTAGAACCACTCCGCTCATAGTTTTGATGTCTACATTAGGACTGGCTACTTGCTGCTCCCTCTATCAAGAGCCATATATCAGTTTAGTTTGGCTATAAAGTGATAGCAATTAAATTATCTCCAGGTCTATATCGTCTATTAACTTCAAATATGACTCTGCAATTTATGTCAATGCTCCATAGGCTATGGCCAAATGTGGTTCATGTTCATGTTTAACCAGTCGAGCACTCAAGGGACCAGGAGAGTGTCATTTACAAGAGCGATCTGGGTCACTAAAATGACGAAAGCAAAACAAATAAAACAAGGAACAACAATGAAGCAAATGGAAAATCTGAGCAAAATCAACCTTGTCAGATGGGAAATTGAAAATATTGCACGAACAAAAATCAATGTTAATTTATCAATTCCCTGCAGCTTACATCAGCTCGGACTAATTATATTTAGACCGATCATAATATAATTACAATTAAGTTACAGAAACATTAAACAGATGTAGGGTGACTATTGCACTAATATGTAAATTGACAAGGAAATATGTCAAATGGAATTGTAAGGTATAATTAAGAACCAACAGCTTTGGATCAAATTGTGATTTAGATGGGAGAGTCACAAGGACATTTTTGATGCGATGGAATTGGAGGTGTGTGGGTATTGATCACAAAACACGCTTGGTGCTCCCCACACATCAAATAGTATCACATCTCTTCTACATTTAGCAACTATTCCTTCTCAGTATTTAATGAGCCACTAAATATGAATTTGAGTAGTTAAGGTGAATATGTTTTCACTCTTTGGTTATTTATGGTTTTACTCAAAGTTCTATTTAAACCTTACATGGGTTAATATACCACATTTATAAATGTTATGAATGAATTATAATAGATATGTTTAATGCATATATGTATTATTCTTGTTGTAAAAAATACGATTATTTGAATACTTTCTTTATTCCGATGTTTTTATGAGGATTGCACTTTCTTAGTATTACTGCATTTGCTTTTCTGGGCCGATTGTCCCTCGAAAAAGAGACTGCGTATCAATGGGCTGTCATCTGGTCATAAATAGATGGTTTGATTGATAAAAAAAATGGGCGTTTGCGTCAAAAATATGGTTTGTAAGAATAGACACGTTTGCACAATGCGAGCAATTTCATTTCAGAAGAAGATACGAAATGTATGTGTTCATGAATGACTGGCGGCAGAGCATTGTACATATTATTAGGGTGGGCGAATGGGATTGGTAAAGTCAAGCACACGGGATGCAGAAGGAAAAATTACAAGACAAGACATTAGAGCCAGCACCCAGGGGTCAGTAACCAATGGGAAGAGCTACAGCCAGATTGCGGAATACTGTGCAGTTTTTGCAGGATATGACATAAAGAAGGAAATTACGGAGTTTTATGGTGACATTAGGCTGGCTGCATTGACCTCTTAATCTTTATTACTGATTAAAAAAAATACTGTATCCAAGGTTTCCCCAAGTAGACATGGACACATTTTAATTATGAATGCTAATACATATTATTCAGCATATAATAACTATCACTTTCGTAACTAAAATATATAATTTTGGTCATAATACACAAATATAAGTAATATTCCCGATTCATTTATGTTGGCCCCACTGTATATTCTATGTTAAATCTGGAAGAGCAAAAAACAATAAAATTACGATGCTTATTTCATGATAATTCATCAAGAGCGTACGTCCTTTATTTTTTGCTGTGTACAATATTGGAACAAATTTTGTTCACTTAAAAAGTAATAACTGTTGTTATTACTGAGGATTTATTTTTAATAGAATGCGATGCCTGTATGATTTTAATTATGTTCATTAAATGGTAAGGTTAATAGCTATATCACTATGCAAATGCTGTGGCTTGTGATGTGCTTTTATAATGAACACTGTTTTTCTTACCAATAGCTTGATGCTGAGACCAGTGAGATGCTCAATGAACTACAAGTCAAACTGAATGGCGTTTTAGATGAGCTGAGCCGAGTGTTTGGCATCAGGTAAGGAGGAAACGTTACTTGTATATACATATTATGCGTGTCCCCGTGAACACTCAGCATTCATGTTACGTGTGACTTTAAAGTGATATTCATTCGTCATCTCCGAGAAAACACCTTCATTTGTCAGTCCACTATTTGTTAATCCATTATTTAATTCATGCCAAGCAGCGGTGGTGCATGCCTGTAATCAAACACTGTGGAGGCAAGGTTTGGTGCATCGCACAAATGTTGTTCAACTCGCATCTCGTGGGGAACGAGGTGGCGTACCCTGCATTGCCAGGTGAAGGCAGTACAGCAAGTGTATGAATCATGATCGGTTTCCATATGTACGGGGATAGCGTGTTGCCCCCTCGCACTCCCACATTATAAACACTCATCAATTTGCTGTAAATATTTTAAAATAAAAACCCATTGCATGAACCTCCTGAAAAAGAATTCTACGACTCAGCGTGGCTATCCTGGATACAAACTTTAAAATGTAACTAATGTTGGAAATTTTTATAAATCTTATTTGGGTAACACAGTACAGTATTTCCTCATGTAATGTGGTAGGTGCATTCCTGAAAAGTGCCACAGTAAGCAAAAATGTGTTAAACGAAACCAAATTGCCACTAAGATGGCAGGACAAGGAACTGTGTTACCCAAATAACATTTATATACTGTGTTATTCTGCACGTGTACCCAAAATTCCTCTAGCACTCAGCCCAACAGAGAATAACATTGTCGACCGCTCATAAGCCGTGTTATAATGGTGCGCGTTCTGTGCATTGTCAAGAGTGGGTCAGGGCCATTCTCTGTCGGGTGGCTTGTAGACATTGGGAAGTTGTTAGTTCACCATTTCGGAAGCTGATGCTGAATACGCTGTAATTGGATGCTTGTTTTTGTCGTCTTTGCTCTGAGTTTCCTGGAGGGCAACTACATAGTATATGTCTTTGTCATGATGAAGGGTTTTGGTGAGGAAATCACACTTTGATCTTGATAATACCTCCCTATGAAGTTAGTATATCCTCATTGATAGGCTCTGAGAAGTGCGTTTTTAAAATTACTTTTACTGGCCTGATCGGTGCCCAGGAGCCTTGGTGACGACATTAATTTGTGCTGGCACACGTAACAGGTAGACTGCATAAAGGTTGTGATCTTCCACCCACACAGATATCAAATAGAGAGATGTGCAGAAACTAACATGGAGAGACACAAGGTGATGCAGAGAGACACGGAGAGAATCAAATATTGATAGAGAAGATGGAGATGCACAAACGAGATAGAGAGATACGTGGAAAAATCGAGATAAAGAAATGAAGATACAGAGAGAAAGGGAGGGATCCAGAGATACAGAGAGGGACACAGATACACAGGCGCATGGAGACTGACACAAGGAATACATGTCTTTAGAACAGTGGTTGTGCATCAAAGACCCCCACCACACTCTAAATAGAAAGCATAAGAGTGCTACTGGAACGCAATTCCAATTATCTCCATATTTATTGTGCATGCATGGAATTGCGAGGCAAATTCATCCAATTACCCACAGGTTTAACTGTGGGTATTGACCAGCCTTTTTCCCCAGTACGCACGTTCAGAAAATCATCACAGATCGAATTATCCATTAATTTTTCGCAGATAGGAGTGGAGATGAATCACTCCCAATGATCAGCAATTATTTACACATTTTCCCACACATATTGAAGCAAGAATAATCGTCTCCGTGGTATTATTTGGACATTACCTCACATAAAAGTTGTCCTGTACAATGATTTTTCAACAAGTAACATGTATCACATTTGAATGCGTCTTTTTTCCCTTTGTTTAAATGGAGAAACAAGGATATGAATATTATTTAGTAACAAATAGCATTCAGCTTTAGTAATATGATACTCCTCCATTGCGCAGAAATAGGGTTTCAGAAACCATGGTGGAATAATGAAGGGGATTTTAGTTTTCAATGTTAGCAGCATGCATGCCAAACATATATCCATCAGTGAGCTCTGAGGTTGCTCAAGAGATGTCATTAGATTGAACACAAGTTATTCATGCAGTGGTCACCAACACGCTCTGATCATATACATATATATTAGAACATGATTCCAGTGAACACCATTCCAATGCTGGGCACTGGAATAGTAGTCTCATGTATATGATCGGAGTTTTAAAATTGGGATATCAGGGAAAAAACAGGTATCAGATTTCATCCAGACAGCAGCTTTGTAATGCCAAACTGTAAAGTTTTTCAGCAAGTAATTACTCAGACTGGCAAGACCCTGCATACATAATGTTACACAGGCTTTTGGTGCATACACAGAATAACAAGTTCAGGAGTAAACAAAGAGTAATACAGATTATCCTTGTCACTAGGTCAAACAATTGATTATAACGTTTCTCAACGTCATTCAAGTTTAACTCTACTCTTAGATATAATGTGAACGATGATTACACCAGTTAAATGTATAAAGAATATGTATAATGGTACATATTCTTGGTTTCGGCCACAATGCAAGCAGCCATCCTCACCTCATCTGAGGACGGCTGCTTGCGTTGTGGCCGAGACGTCGTGAGAATTTTATTTTATTATGTAATTTTTTTATTATTTTATTATTTCCCTTCTACGTGACTTTACCGAAAGAACCAAGAATATGAATCCCTGCAGTCATGAAAGCTTTAAATCGAAATGTATACTGGTAGTATAAAATTATTGCTCAAATGAATGTTTTGCACAAATTTGACAGTACTTCATAGCAGGTGACATTGCACTTAAAAAAACATACTGTCCCACAAGGACAGAGTACAAACTGCTTGATATTTTTCCACATTTTCAACAAAGAACTGTGATGGATTAAGTTATTGTGATATTTAGTTGTATGAATGTAAAACAAATGGATTTTACATGTAAACCAAAACTAATTCAGGATATAACATAATTCATAAAGGATTGATCATGGCTTAAAGTTGCTATGGAAATAGTGTGCTTCTATTCGCATATGTATAAACGCCTGGGTTATTTAATTACAAATGTAAATGTTAAAGATGATGTTTTTAGCAAGATTACAAATGTAAGTTACTATTTGTATTCACACCCCCCCCCGCCCCCCCCCCCATAAAATACATGAAATATGTTCTTCCATGTAAGAATTGATTTCAGGATGCAGAAAGGACAGGTTTTTAACCCTTCTTAATTTGCATGCATTCACCCGCACAATGTTTTAGTTTTCGCCCACAAGTGGAGGAAAGCGTGAAGACAATGGCTGACCTTCTGAGCCAGGTGAAGGGTGGAAGCTCTGGGCAAGGGAATTTAGCTGGAGATGCTGACACTATTTTGCGTCCTCTCATGGACTTGTTGGATGGCAAGTAAGTGGTCGTCCTACCTTGAAGTCTGAATGCATTTTTCACTCCCATCACGATGTCAATAAATATACATAATGGGAGCTTTACTCAACTCATGAAAGCATGGACGTCAATAACCACTGGGTTTGAAATGTTGAAGCTTTTGGCAGCAATTCACTTGTAAACAGATAGGCTACTTCTTCGTGGCACAACATTAAGTATTAATAGAAATACAGTAGACTCTCGATTATCCACGCTAATGATGGGGAGGATGGCCGCGGATAACTCAAAATTGTGGATAATAAAAAATATCCATTTTCCGCAGATCTCTATGCCAAAAACCATTAATATAGATATAGATTATTTTTAAGTGAAGAATATTGAGTTTGATAATGAACAACACAAACATTTTTGATGTAAATAATATATTGATCTTGTTTTATTACAAAAGTTCATGAGCATTTACAGGAAATGTGTGCTTATTTGTATGCAGTCTGACACTGTTTGCCAAGGTATGTGAGAAGACTGTGCTGAAGAGAGTACTCAAAGAATTATGGAAGATCGTTATGAATACCATGGAAAAAAAGATAGTCCTGCCTTCCCTTACTGATCAAACGGTAAGAATAGTTGTTGCCCCAAACTATACACTGTCTGATATTCACATGGTTGCAATCATAATTTTGTTTAGGTATAAGACAGTTGCTTCAGAGGAATTACATTTTCTTCTGAGAAATTAACTATTGGAGTGATCATTAGCCAGATTATATTTTGAAAAGAGAAAAACACAGTCATTCTAATGTTGAAGACATTAATTCACCAAAAATAAATATAACTGCTAATCACTTTAAACAAAAAATGCATTCCGTTATTTGAGGTCAGCAAATTAGTCAATGAGTGGGTTTTTTTTTATACAAACCGAGTTATTGTGCAGTGGAGCCATTCCAATTATCTTCACATTCTGCCTGGAGGGAAGTACATTGTGCACTGGCTGTGTTCTACAAGGTCCACTGAGGGTAGTGCTTAGAGAACAGCTGGGCCATAGAATTGGGGGAGTCAGTAATTGCCCTAAATCTATGGCATCTCTGCATGCGGAAACAGTGGTGGCTCCAGTTTGCGGAGGCTGCAAACTCTGCCTCAGATTTATCAGTATCGGGTGGCTTGATAATTTGAATGTGCGTACAAAACATAATAATCACCTGGGCTGGGCATCCAGCAGAAATGCCCTTCTAGGATGATACATGTGTAGTGTCAACGATTCAGAGACAGAGTTTCTAGGAGGCACCTTCTTTATTAACAACTTTCACGGTCTCGTCCATACACTCTCCACAGTAGCTCAGCCTAACCTGTACACAACACTAGACGTCTAACACTGACGGCGCTGACTGAGATAGCCAACTACTCTCCTTCGTAGCGCAATATCTCGCGGAGACGTTTAGCGACGACGGCGACGAGATGACAGCAACTACGAGACGGGTCCATTCCCAGAACCGGCAGCCTCGAGCCCCCCCGCTCTCGGCTCCTTTTATGCTCCCAGCGTGGCCTGGCTCCGCCCTGACCGCGCCTCCCTTCTCGAACCCGCTAGCAGGTTCCAGGGGCCTCCAGATGGGGTCCTCCGTGACCCTTACCCTAGTTCCACTCACGCTCATCAGTGTGTGTACTGTCTGTCCACCACAGCTGCCGCTGCTGTCCAACAGCCGGCGCTATTACACGACACATGTATATGCCCATCTGGCTGAGATAGTACTAATGAAGTAACTGCGATGGGTGTTTCAATTATCCATTCACTCGTGTGTCACATAAAACTATAAAACCCTGCGATGGAATGGGTAGCATCTCAACACCGGAGCCAGGGGCCACCACTGTGTGAAGGAGGCAATATCCTTGTGAGGGAGTGCACAGATGGGTGGGTGTTGGCAATGCATGCCGAGCCTTTCCAAGCATCGGTAGCCATCACCATCAATTTTCATCCATCATGCTCGGTCTGTTGCAAGGCAGCAGAAGTTCTTAAGGGAATCGTGGCCTGCTGTGACCTCTTAAAAATTGGCCTACCATTTTATAAATGCCTTATTCCGTAGACTTTGTAAATATTTGGCAGGCACGGACATCTAGCAATGATTCTATACCCACAGAATTTGTATTTGAACAATAATTGTTGAGAGTGTGTACACCTACAGTAATTGCAGGAGTATACACACACAGATATAGACACGTGCGCATATAATTCATACTAAACATTGTACTATGAACACCTATTAGGGTCAAGAGGTCATCGTGGACAATCCCTTCATTCCAAAATACATCTCACTTTCTTCTCGTAGACCCAATAGCTGTATACAAATTGACACCAAACCTCAAAGTCCTCTTCTTCCAGCATCTCTGGGCACTCTAATCACCCGATTGTGTCTGTTACCATTGCAACCTCCCAATTTCTGATTACATTGAACCATACGGTGACACTGTCATTGCTCCTGCATAAAAAACTACTCTTCCATGTTGATTTTCTTAGCCCATTAGACCTTCTTCCCTTGAAGGCCTCCAGCACATGCTCATTGAGATTTTCTTACGGTTGACCCTTGTTATGAAAATTTAAGATGAAGGGGGTTTACCGGTCCCTTGCACCCGTCCAGCGCCACCATTAGCCACTGTGGTGCATATGATCATGATGCCATGAGAGTAAACAGATAACTCGCATTACTCACGTGTAACCCACGACGAAGTTGGGAATTCTGTTGCTATCGAACGACACTCACAACACCCACACAAATAAATGCATACATGATGCACGCATACCACACGGATATGTAACTGCCTCTACTGGTTTAACTGCATTAACCCTATCTGCAATTCATCGTCTCATTACTCATAATTCTGGACCTGTTGTGCATTATTTAGCTGTTGTTCTACAACTACTATAATATTCCATGTTGAACATCATATCCGTCCAGTACATTTTAATCATGACTGCTGTATATACCCCCATGCACCCCTTGACCTCCCTCAACCCAATTGTTTCTCACCATTTGATACTACTACTATGTTGCTCTTGATATTGCCTGATTGAGCAATGGATAAAAAAAATACTCTAGGAGACTCTGTTTGACCATGAGGCAATAACAACAATTCTCGAAGATCTTAATGTTTCCATCTACTGTTCTCTTCATGTATTAGTGTCTGTCCGTCTCAGACAGTACCGCATGCATCTTGAGCTCTTACACCTAACTTGGTACTTCAAGGGCAAGGTGCTCTGTAATTGGACACTGCTGCATAATTTGCTATGCAAGCATTATCACCATCAGCCTGAATCTACTGAAGGGATCCCTGAAGCAGCTCTGTGATGTCACCTTCTAGAAGTAATTCTCCCACGAGGCATTCGGCACGGCTGTCCGTAAACGCCGCGAATGTACATTTCTTTGCCTCGTGATACCGAGGAATATAATTGGAATATAATCCATAAAATACAGCTTCCTAATTTAGATGATAGATGGACCACACAATTATATACAGAATACATGCAATTTTATGGAATGTGTTTTCTTTTCAGATGCTTTAAACATATATATTTGACACTCCTTAGTTATTAAATATTATATTGTAGGTATGGTTTCTGTAAACAATTATATTACACATGTAATACTGCTTGTTACTTTATTTCTCATGGGAAACATTAAATAATCATTTACATATTGTGTTTTAAAGCTCTCAATTGTGTGTTAAGGGGGGGAAATGTATATTTACACGATTAAAGCATCGTGTATATTCAATTGCAATACTGGCAGCGTGTAGTACTACATTAAGTATGGTGTATAGTCGTCGACCGTTCACATTTAATGTCAAGGGAAGTTAATTATTTTGCTTCATATCCAAAAGTTTTTGTTTTAATAAACCTCCTTTGCTTCATATCCAAAAGTTGTGTTTAATAAACCTCTTTTTCAGGATGCATGTATTATTCACATTAAAAAACAAATTTCACAGCAGTTGGTAATTTCAGTGAAAGTAATCATGTATGCATCAATCTGCTCCCTTGCAGTTTGCAAAAAGTGTTCTTAGTGCATGTTAGTATTCTTACTCTGTAATGCCAGGGATTTCCATGAAAGGACGGCGACTCATTAACACCTTTCGCCTGTTTATTTTGAAGGGAGCGCAAATGATATTCAATGCCGCTAAAGAACTGGGACAACTTTCAAAACTGAAGGTAAAAACACAAATCATTTTGAGCGCATCGACCTGGCGGCAGCGCGTTCGCCGCTTGTTCTAAAGGGTCGCAGATCGTAGGGGGGCGATTATACAAATCATCGCGTCCCCTACTGGCAGCCGAACTTCTCATTTGCAGGTCAAGTCAAGTGCCGAGTCACCCTGTGCCTAAAGGGGCAGCTGCCACGGCAGGGGGGGGGGGTCCTTTCAAACGTTTGAGATTAGATGTAATGTAAAGCACTCTGAGATCCCCATGGCATAATAGGACACTCTATCAAAACAAATCAATATCATGACATCAACATTCCATTTAATTATACAAAGTTGAAAAGGATGCGTGTGCGTGGATTCTATAGCGTTCCAAAATGCATTTCATCGGCAGTATTGCATTTTTTAGAGAACGTATGCAGGTTAAAGAAATTGTATTAACTGTTAAGGGATGTGCATTAGGCTTTTGCAGGACATGTTACTGGTAAGGATGATGGCCCGAAAGTCAAGAATAATGATGGAGTGGTTGCCAAGGTAGGGAACACGTCCGAAAGGCCATCCAGCAGAGAGATGGAGTGATACATTAGCCCGTGTGCAGGTGTCTGTATGGATTTCTGCTTAACAGAAGAGCCGAGCGCTGGCTTGGGGACGCCTTCGGCAGTGGATTGATCGGGGCGGATCGTGCCCAGTACTGGCATCCCATTACATAATTGGATGCACGCGAATAGCGTGTGATGTCATCTCATGACGTCACGAGTGAATTAATATTGCCAGCACTTCCTATTCTCCATGTATTTTTCATGGATAAGAGGGTTCACTGTGGGTGCTAAATTATATTTCTAGTAAATATAGTTACGTTTTTGAAACGATGCATTAACATAGTTTTGTGAATTAAGTTCATTACCTTGGATTGCGAGTAACTTGGTCTGCGAGTGTTTTGCAAGACGAGCAAAATTTTTAAATAAATATTAATTTGATAAACGAGCGAGGTCTGCAATACGAGTAATACGTGTACGCTTTGTCTGCCGAGCGTCACGTGATCACAACTGATATACGAGTGCTTTGATATACGAACACGTTTCCGGAACGAATTATGCTCGCAATCCAAGGTTTTACTGTATGTGCTTTGCCTATAACATGTTATCATTTTGTGTGACTATTTTGCTGTAATCCAGGATCACATTGTGCGGGATGAAGTGCGCAGTCTCACACCTAAACACTGCGAAGTCATGGAGATTGTGTTGGACACGATAAAGGTACATCTCCAATAAAGGATACATACAGAAGATGATACAGCAAACATCGGCACAAAAAAAGCAATGGCAATCGTACAAAGAAGTTAAAATTGTTACATATTCTCGAACACCTGCATGAGTAATGCTGCAGTCACAGACCGCGGAGTTTCACACTTTTTATTATCGCGTAGAGACAGTAATGCGCATCTTTGATGGATGCTTTCTTTGTTCATGTTGAGGACATGGCCGAGCCACTTTGGGCTGCCTTTGCTGTGTATTTGACGGGGGTGGCTTCGGCACAATGTTGAACACTTCTTCGTTTCAGATACAGTCTATCCTCGTAATGGTTAGCATCTCTCTGTAGCAGCCAGGTACGAAGGTGTCAAAATAAGCACACATTCACTTTGTGAACACGCAATCCTCACTGTCTTCGAGTAGCGTAGTGAGTTAAGTAGCCTGACATATTCACAGCTTGATATCGATGGGTAGCTCTTCCAATTGCCACGGCTTTATCATATTTAAAATAGTGCTCCTCCATGATTGTTGTCTGCATATATTAAGGTCTGCCAGTAATGAGCTTATGGATCACTAGGTAACTAAACTCTGCAGTCTAATGCCCGGTTCCATTTTGGCTGGGATTACTGTGAACTTCAGCCTTTCCACTTGAAGTCCCACCAGGAATCTTTGTTCTGGAGGGCTGGTAAAGTACTATCATGCTGCATGAGATGTGCTATCTAAGAGGTTAGTACCATCTGAAAAGTCCAGATTGTCTTGGATTATTTTTAATTGGCAATGAGTGGGAAAACCGTATCTTTTAAAAACTTACGTATTACGCAATCAAGGACCACAATGAAGATAAATGGAGCCAACGTTTCTCCCAGTGTTAACGCTTTACTGAACTGAGTATATTTCTACAATACCAGGTATATATTTTTTCCCGAAGTAACAGACAATCTAACTGCGGTTAACAAATTAGATACAGGTATAGTTTAATTTGAGCTATAATAATGTCTGAACAGCTCACTTTTGGAACTGTCAGTCATTCAACTTTGTCGTAGACAACAAACTCTATATTCTTGGTTCTTTCGGAAAAGTCACGTTTTATATTTGTATTATTATTTTATTGTTTCCCTTCTACATGACTTTACCGAAACAATAAAAAATAAAAATATAAAACAATAAAATAGTTTTATATTTGTATTATTTTATTGTTTCCTTTCTACGTGACTTTACCGAAAGAACCAAGAATATGAATCCCTGCAGTCACGAAAGCTTTAAATCAAAATTCAACAAAGGCTAGTTATATCAATGGCAGGTGCTGCCCACGGGGAACTGGAATTCAAACATAACATCTATGCGAATCTGCTTCGTGGCAAGCGTTCTAACAAATATTGCTGTACAGCTGTCATTCCACATTGAGATACATTTCCAGACTTCTGTAATGTTGCGTCTTGTCTTTTTTTTGCAGCAATACTTTCATGCTGGAGGGAACGGATTGAAAAAGACATTTTTGGAGAAGAGTCCTGAGCACCAGTCCCTGAAATATGCTCTGTCCCTGTACACTCAACCTACGGACACACTCATTAGGACCTTCACCCAGACCCAGACCACTCAGGGTAAGATGAATGGTGCATACATGCTGCACAACAGTGCCGAAAGGCACACGTTACATCACGCATTTTTTTACATATGCAAAATGCTTTCAAATTCAATTCAGGTTATTCTCGGAAAATAATGTAAAGTTTCTTCTGTTTGAATCATGTTGAACAAAATTGTCAAACATTTTCCCATTGATATCCACCTATATTTTTTAAACCTAATTAGCATGTCATTCAACAATGACGTGAATTTTACTTTGGGTTAGTACAGGAATATAAATACATTTACGATAACGAAATGCATTCAATCTGGAGTTACTGTACACTACGATGTACAGTACACGTCGTCTTTCAGTCTTTTATTTTTTTATCAGCATCAAGCAACACCAAGTTGCACGCAAAATTGTGGGTAGAGTTTGCCGCGGTGAAATTCATGTTTTTGTGTTGAACGTTTTTGTAGATGAACAAATGGCTCTGCATTGCAGAGCTTTTGTGTGAATTAAATTGAACATAAACTTTTGATTGTTTACCAACGGTGGAAATCGCTTGACATTTTACAGTGCGCCCCAGGGAAAATCCATGTATAAATGCCACAGAGAAATTGCGCCACTATATGTGCAGCAGTTAAACCTTAAAAGTATTGTGTTTATATTAACATAGCTTTGACATTTTATTGAAGAAAACCCCGCAAAATGATTGCGTAAAAATAATCAATACATTAATTTGCATTCATTTCCTATGAACAAATGCGTGATAGAAGCATGATTCAGATGGAGATAAATTCAACATTAAATTTTCAATTTCAATAAACACGGATGAGGTAACTTAAATATATTTGTATGTTTGCCCCAGGGGTGTTTTCAATTTTAAGGTTGAAATATTGCCGCCATGCGAAACAATCTTTAATGAACGCGATCTGGCCCAGAATTCTTTGCTTGTTTTTTTTTTTATATACGAATATCCACATATTTGTTAAGCAAAAATTTATTCCTGTAGGATACACATTTTACGTGCTTATAGGAAATATCTGCTTATATCAGTCTGCAGCCTTACATTCAATTATGACCCCATAGTCAAGTTACACCAACCTTAAGGCTTTATAGACGGTGCTTGGGTACAGGTTGATGTACAAGTCTAATTTAAAGGCGAACAAATAATACATTTAATGACACGTGGTAGAAAGGAAAACAATTAACTTTTGATACAATACCTTCAAAGTTAAAAAGTATCGTCATACTAGGTAAATTACTGGAAATTATAAAGTCATGGTGGAAGAGTGCGAGTCATAGAATAAAACTCATACAATGACATACTTAAGAGTATAATCAAATAGGGCTAATTTGAATGTTGTTCTTTTCCCTCTGTTGATGGGAATTCTACCGATGACCAGGCACAGGTAAAGTAATATGACTGTGGAACTTGTTTCAGGATCACAGCTTTCTGCAGCTCGTGCAGAGCACAGCGAATGGTTGCCTCATGGCAATAGCCATTGTGACGAGGCAGGTTAATATGCATTTAAGGTATAGGGTCTCTGATTTCAGGTGATATAATAAACAAGATTGCTAGAGAGCCTTGGTAATCATAATCAAATCGAAATAAATCTGGGACCCTATATGTGCGCTGCTGCTATTCATTTTTAGTACATTATAACAAAGCACATGTATAACAAACGAATATGCTTGATAAACATTTGCACTGGACAGCTTTCTCGACGATGCCCAGTCTGCCAACATGCTGCTGGCTGCATGCTTATGTGAGACAAATACAGAAATTTTATTTCTGTCTGAGAAGCCATGAGATAGCTTACAGCTCACGCCTACTGCTCATCTGTCTTGACAGAAAATTGTTTGACATCCCTGTTGTACAATTGCTGTCAGATATGAAATATTTACCAACCGCCATAAAGGAGGATTTTAATAAAAATAACAATTTTGACTATATTTTGATTTAAAGCTTTCGTGACTGCAGTGATTCATATTCTTGGTTCTTTCGGTAAATTCACGTTGAAGGGAAACAATAAAATAATAAAATATATATAATAAAATTCTCACGACGTTTCGACTGCAACATAAGCAGTCATCATCAGGTGTGAAAACCAATGGTAAGAACATTTGAAACCGCCACTTCTTTCAAATGTTCTTGCCGTTGGTTTTCACACCTGATGATGACTGCTTGTGTTGCAGTCGAAACGTCGTGAGAATTTTATTATTTTATATATATTTTATTGTTTCCCTTCAACGTGACTTTACCGAAAGAACCAAGAATATAATTTTGACTATATTTCATTTAAAATTACGTTTGCAAGAATGATGATGTCCATGTGACACATCAATTCTTCATATACGTGGTGAATGGCTCACATGGATTTTGTGCACATCACTGGGTCAATTCTAATGATCATTGATAATTACACGGATAGAAAACACTAAATCTGTTCTTAAGACTTGGTGTAATTGGCTTTAAGGCTACGATATGCATTCAGTTAGCTGCTTTGGATGGCACATGCATGTTAAAACAATTGATAACCATGCTATTAAAGCTGCTAATGAATCTCACCACGTTTATCACTGCATGCATCGAGTTTTGTACATATTTGGCACGCCTTTCCCTGTTCGTCATTGTGAATATTCGTGTATATATATTTTGTGTGTATTATGTAAACATGTACAACCAACATAAGCCTTTTTACCACATTTTCCTTATGCCTTTATGTGGACATCTGTAGAAAGATATTCCTAGCTCATTGGGTTATTACAGTTTAAGGAACACGTCTGTGTATGTGTAGTCCTATTTATACACGTCCTGTTATGTATTCTTTAGGTTTTGTGTGAATATCTTCTGAAATGCCTGCATGGCTATGCTACTTCCATTATTATTTGTCAGCCAAGGGCTTTCCTTCTCTCATAAACCTTTTAGCAATGGGTTTCGTCAAGGTTTCATTGTTGAGCCACTCAATATTTTCAAGTTCGTCTTCTTTCACTTTGCCAAAACAAATCCGAGTTCAACGTTGACAACCATCTCCATGCTAATGACATCATCTATATGTTGCCATTGATTTTGTTGATCCTGCTTTACTAGCAGGGCTTTCACCCTGCACCAACCTCAATAAACCTGATCGTTTCATGTTTTCTCCAGTGTAATGTCCAGAAATTGTTCTTTCTTGATTTACGTTATGGACTTTTCGTTCTCTTCTCTCCTGTTGACTATTTACTCACTTTATAGTTTCCCTACCTCTGTGCTCTTCCACCTTTATCCTAATCATCATTCCTTCCTTTTCCCCCCTGGTTCTGTGCATTATTGGTGTTGTTGAATCAATCTGTCATTGCAAATTACAGTAGAATTGGTAATCTTCTTGGTTCTTTTGGTAAAGTCACGTAGAAGGGAAATAATAAAATAATAACAATAAAACATTATAAAATAAAATTATCACGACGTTTCGGCCACAACACAAGCAGCCGTCTTCAGGTGAAGAAACAGAACTTCAGAAATAATTTTATTTTATTATGTTTTATTTTTATTATTTTAGAATTGGTAATGTTTGGGATTTCTTGTGTGGCCTCTGTTGCGTTGCTGCTCAGTCTGCCCAACTGTTTTTGTTTTATTGTCTCGTATTTTGTTTTTATTTGTGACGTTTACGTTTGTATGTATGGTTATATATGTTGGATATTTTTTATATGCTTTGAATAATTATCAGTGACACTGCCTTAAAAGGAAAAATAAGTAAGTGGTGATATTTCAGGCAATGGTCCTTTAGAGCACTTAAATAGCATTCATATTTTTCCTTTTAGTACAGTGTTAGTTTTGTTATTTGTGCATTTGCACCACTGCCAATGCACTATCACCAAATAATTAGTTTGTCTTTTTGTATGCTGTATAAATTCAGATTCTTATCCCTGTTACTTCTACACAATTATTCCTCTGCTTTAAATTGGTTATGTGTGCCTTTGCCTTTTTATGGCATATGTGTTGTGTACCTTTGTATGACTGTACATAACTTTGCATCTGTGTCGACGAGAATATTTTTTGGTTTCTGCGCCTGCCTCCTTGTATGCGCGAATATATAAATGAGAAAACAAATCATAACTGAAATGTGTTGGCTGTGCATGTCTGGGTATGTTTATGTGTGATGGACAGGTAAAGTGAAGGAGTCAGTTGGCGAGGTCTCCATACATATTGATCTCATCACGCAAGCTGGCACCAATGACCGCAAGATTACCGTCAAAGGTATGCCAGCTACCTCAAAAAGTTACTGTAATAACACTGCTGCCTTAAAAGGAAAATATATAATAACGTATAATATTTCATTTAAAAAAATCTGAATACAAATAAGTTTATTTAGCAATACATGTTGATTAATGAAGGGTTTGTCTGTTACTCAGGAGCTACTAATAATTAGACAATACATATGCAAATTAAAAAAATTTCATCAGAAGAAAATGTTGGTGTAAAGTTCAATATTCAACTCTTATCTTCAAAGCGTATCCATTGTATTTCTCTTGCTTCTCTATTCATGTGCAATTAAGAAGGCCCATTGCCCAGAATGTCACCTATTATGTATTTTTCTGTTTAAGGCAGTTTTTTCACGTAATAATACATATATTTTGTTCATAATCATAATTACAAAAAATATCCATACAATTACATTATGGCTTTCACACTAAATGTTTTTTTAAGAAGGAAGAAAACTCATGCGTATGTTTGTATTCTTTAAAACTTTCCAAAATGCGTTATTCCTCGGGAGTATATGAAAGCAGCTAAAAGAGGTTGATGATTTGAAATTCATAAACGTGAATTCTCCCTTATTGAAGAGTAATTAGTTGAGGCTGTTATACATACAACCCATAAATCAGAACGACTCCCAGATGAAGAGGTATAATCAATTATTATTTTACCTGCCAATATCACTCTCAATAAAGTAGGCATCAGTGTACATTACAGCAGAACAGGAACGGTACGGGGGAGGGGGGGGGCATAGAGCAAGAACAATTAAAAAATAAACCGGTCACGACTTCAACAGCAAAGTAAATTGCAACCGCGCGCAAAATGAAGTGCAATCGTGCACAACGAATAGCATAAGAGAGGTAAGTAGTAAGTAACATAAGTAAAGAAACAGTTTTGTTTCTTAAATTTTATATTTCACTGGAAGGCAAATCTGAATAGATGTGTCCTGCACAGACCACGGAATTAAGGAACACTCGGTGCGTTTCGGACGTCCGGTGGCAGTGTTCCAGATTTTTGGGGCTGCACTCGAGAAGGCTTGTGCCCACCAGCAATGCCACACTTGAAGAAGTCAACTCTGCCCTTCGCAGTGTGAAAAAGGGTACAGCTCCTGGACGAGATACAATGCCACAGCTGTGGACATCACAGAAAATAGGACCAGCTGATGGAACACAATTACAATCGTTCACGAAATGATTATGGAGAATTTAATTACCGCAATCACGGAATGGTGCCCAAATAATTATATTCAAGAAGAAGATAAAAACAAACTTGAAGAACTACAGATTATTTTCGCATGAGATGCGAATGCGTACACTTGTTGAAAACCTTAAGCTAATAATTTAGGAAAGAGAGGTGATACAGTCTATAAAAAAAAACCCTTGGCACAACACCACTATTCGTTAGTGTTTCCAACAGTCAAATCAAATCGAAATAATACACAGTTAAAGACTGACATCGCTATCTCAATCTTCTCCCCTCTCATCAAGATCTTTGAGAAGATCTTAAATTAGAAACTTTCATCTCAGAATATGCCCTATGCCATCCTAAGAAATCTGGCTTTGGAGAAAAATATAACAAGGCCTCTCTGTTACACAATACGCCTGACTGCATCTTCAAATCTTGAATCTCGTCACCATTGTGCAATCATATTCCTCGACCTGTCTGAAGCATTTGACACTGTGGATCACGCTGTACCGTTGCAAAGGCTAAAATGCCAAGATATTTTGGACTGTTAGTCAACTGGATTTGCAACTAAGAGCCCTGAGAAACTAACTAAGGAAGTTTCTCAGGGCTCTGTGCTTAGCCCCAAGGTCAACAATCTAGGCATCTCTAATGTGCACTCTGACATTAACCTGTTTGCTTATGACAGCCCTAATGTCCTCTAAAAATCCATGTAGGAGTTACAGCAACCTCTAGAACAGGACGTTGATAATCTTCAACTTAATATCCTAAAACTTGTCCTCAATGATAAAAATACAGAAGTTATGTTAGTCTCCAGCTGCCCCAAACCTGTCTCGCCACCTATGCATATTTTGGCTCTGGACTTGCACCTCCTTGAGCAGGTGGACAATTCTAAATGTCTAATTATTATCCTGGACTCAAATGTGTCTTTCAAGGCCCGCATTGACCACCTGGCCAACAAGGTAAAACACAAAATTGGATTGCTATATAGAAACAAGCGCTGTATTCCACCTCGACTTGGTCTGGATATTTAATGTCACCATCTGGCCCATATTTTATGATTCTGATACCATCTACTACCTAGCTTATGAATCTACTTGAAAACATTTAATTCCATTATGTGACTCGACACTCCATTTTCCCCCTGACACCCCTATAGAAATTATTATTGCAAGCTGTATATTAGCTCAAATTTGCCTCCCCCCCCCCCCCCGTCAGGGTCCTCTTAAATAAATCCTCCAATTACCTAAAGGAGCAGTCAGTTCCCTCCCTCCAGTAGCTTCAGAAGTGCATCCTCATTCCTACAAAAAAACATCTATTTGCTAAACTTTATTTTGGTAAAATCATTTCCATTTTGCTCCTCCACGCGTCTGGGAATACCCTTGCCTCTCATCTACAGCTTGGTTCCCTTCTCTCTATTTCCCGAGTAAACCAAAACACAGAGCATACTTTCACCTGTACCTAACTTTTTCTGGTGCCTCTTGATTTCACAATATTTGCACTGTCTATTGATTGACGTGTGTTTTATTTACAGCCGTTAAATACCTCGTGTATTCGTTATGCAATATTCCTAATTATCTGTAATATTGATGTGTTTGTCTATGTTTTACCGTTATTGCTGTGCTCACACACCACGGATCTCCCTTGTAAAATAGCTGGGAAATTGACTAAATGGCATAATCCGTGTAACAAATAAAATACATGTAAACTTAATGTATTAAGTCCAGACTTGTTCTTGGTTCTTTCGGTAAAGTCACGTAGAAAGAAAATAAAAATAGTAAAATAAAATGAAAATTTTAATAAATTAAAAATCATAAATATAATTTATGAAGGTATTGGCCACATTTTTTACTATTTTTTATTGTGGTTTTTTTATCGTGACTTTTTGCTTTTATTATTTAAAAGTTATTTTAAATTTTAATTTTCTTTTTTTTCTTTTCTATCTACGTGACTTTACCGAAAGAATTAATAACGTGAATTCCTGCAGTCACGAAAGTTTTCAGTCAAAATTTAAGTCAAGACTTGTTTTTCTGGGGTAATGTGGAATTCCCACCACTGGATTACGACCTAAACATTATCCAACACTCATCTGAGTACAGAGGAAAATGTTTACTTTATCAATAAAGTTCAATCTCCATTGAGTAACTGTCAATAAGCTTCATTTTTTTTTACGCATGATCTTTGCGTCAAGGTGAAAAACCACCATTCCTTTTAAAATACCAAAAACATACACCGTGGAATACATCACTTCCAGCAGCTAGCAAATATGTTTTTCAATTTCCGGGTTATATACTCAGAAATGCATAGTATTCCACACCAGGGATATTATTTATGAAGCTGTTTTTTCACCACCTTGCCACCCTTCTCTCACATAGAATAACTGACTAAAGAAAGTTATGCAATGCACACGAGTCAACAGGGAGCACAATATCACCAGCCAAAAAAAATCTAACTCTCATGAGCATTCGTGCATTGTGCTTGCTATTAGCACATGGCCCCATGTGAGGGGACATGCACATTGTCACATTTAATCAGGGTCTCCTAGTTTTAAAAAAAAATGCATAAACCCTACAGGCCCTCCTGAATGAGACAATGTCACACATTTTGGTATGAGTTCAGTTTAATATACTATTGTGCAACCATTTCATATTAATCAGAAGCATTTATCTTGGAAAGTCTCACTGAATCTCCACTCTTTTTCAGGGGAGTACTGCATTGAAATATGTGGCCAATACCTTCATAAATGATACCTCAATCGTTATTATATTCACAATAGGTGACAAAATTGACTTGAAGAACCACAATCACTCTTCTTATCACACGTATATACAAAAAAAACCAGAATGTTGAACAAATTAGAGGCCATCCAAGCACAGGGCAAGCAGGGTTTAGGAAAGGGTTTTCCACATCAACCACATGCACATACTATTCATGCTGGAAAAGACTGATGGATGTCAACTGCCATTGTTCATAGCCTTTATACATTTGACTAATTCGAAATTGTTGCAGTCATCCAAGCTCTTATAGTCTGTGGCCTAAATAAATATAAATGTTTCTAATATGATCTATATACAATAACAGCCACGAAAAAGTTTGTATGAAGAATTTTAAAAATACAATTCAAAGGGGAGTCAAACAAGATGTCACACTTTCACCAACGTTATTCACTGAACATTTTGAAGATAATTTCTGAAAATTGAACAGGTGAAATAAAGGCATGAATATTCACGGAGAACCATCTCAGATGTTGATAACAGTCATTAAAACGTCCATTGGGTACGAACTGCAGGAAATGTTATAAGAATATGAAGGTGTATATTCTTAGCTCTTTCGGTAAAGTCACGTTGAAGGGAAACAATAAAATAATAAATTATATATTGTTTTTTATATATATGAATTACTGCAGTCACGAAAGCTTTAAATCAAAATTTAATATGAAGGTGAATATAAGAAGTTTACTAAATAATTGGAGCATCGTGAATGGCGGTGGAAGCTTTGGGTTGCCTTCATCAAGCAGTGCATTGACCATGGCTGATGATTATGATGACCATTAATGAGTGTTTGGCATGCGGAAGGAAATCAGAGTACCCAGAGAACCCACACGTACGAGCGGATGACATTCAGGACTGCCATCTCCTGGCCACCTCACTGCCCCACACTTACAATACCTCACAAGCCTTGGTGGTCACCCATTCAAGTACTTACCAGGCTCAATTCCACTTTGCAACTGAAGTCCTGAGATTAGGCACATTTTTCGTTGTTTGTAAAAGTAAACCCTTGTTGATTCGACACATATGGGGCTCTGGCATTGCCGAATTATCAATATTCTGAATTATGTACAATGGTACTCCCCAGTGCCTCCTGTCCCAATAAAATAAAAATAAAAAATCCAAATTTGTTTTCCAAACACTTCATACATTATACACATTGACACACCTGCATCATTTCTCTCCAAAAACTTTGAATTTGTCTCGCAGACTAAGGAATGTTTCCTACTTGATGTAGGTGACCATTCGGTATGGCAAAGCGGCTCATGGCGAATTACTAATAATGTATATATATATGCCGAAAGCGCAGCCGTGTCAAATTATCCCCAATTACGAATGATCAAATACCTAAATAACGAGGTTTTACTATACTATAATTAAGACATAATTGCACAATGGTACACTAAGCTTGACTTACACCAGCATGCGTGCTAACGTCTCATTGAGGAGGGCCTGTAGGGTTATGGAATGTGTTTTCTTAAACCAGGAGACTGATTAAATATGACACTGCATGCCCTATTCCCACTTTGGGCTTTGTGCTGATGGCAGGAACAAGCATGAGTGCTCAAAACAGCCTGGTTGCCTTGGCTTACCAACCTCAATCTCTTTGTAACCCACAAAATTCTCATATTCATCTCTAACTTTTTTATGATCCACCAGCCCCAAATAACCTCATGATCTATGAACCACCAACGCCCTATATATTTGTGATCCACCAACCCTTGCCTAAAAGTTGATGGATTCCATTTGTGCACTAACATTAGTGTAAACAATACACCAAATACCCATTCAAGGCAACGATACCCAGTCATCACACATGTACGTATGTAGTATACACTGGGATTATTCATCGCAATCATCACCCGCTACTGGCAGCCTGTAATGCTGGATTGCTGGCCAGGTGTTCAGTGACCTTGTACCCACATAAACAGCTCCCACTTGGGAGTGCCCTTTCAAACATGTTGAAATGAGATGCGTTGTAAAGCATTCTGAGACGCCCTGGCATATCGAACACTTTCATAGAAACAAATAATCATAATTATTACTATATGTAGTGTGCATGTATATATCTGTGTGTAGTCTCTGTGGAGTGTATGAGTCCTGTGCACAAAGCCATGACATTTCACATACTTTTTTTAGTCCAGTATAATCTAGATATAAGAACACCCCTTGGGAGTAGAGCTTGGTGTGCTCAAATCCGACATGTGCTTGGATCAGAAGTTGCCTTTCCCCACGAGTAAGCATGTGTTGCTTATATCAGAACTGATCTCATATAAGGTGTGAATCGAAAGTACTTGTAGTTTCTACGCCATATAATGTACATACAGTGTGCGCTGTGAATATTTTGGAATTCTTTAAATATTTCACAAGTGAACAAATATTTTTTTCTTTAAATAAGTTAAAGTAAGGCATGCAGACGATGCGTACATTTTACTTTTTAACACTGTTCCATTGTATTCTTTGGGTCTTTTGGTAAAGTCACGTAGATAGGTTCAAAGAAAATAACAAAAAACTACAACGTGTTGTGATCGGAACGTAGTTTTTTTGTTATTTTCTTTGAACCTATCTACGTGACTTTACCGAAAGACCCAATGAACGTGAATTCCTGCAGTCACGAAAGCTTTAAGTCACTGTTCCATTGTGTTGTGGCCTTCCCTCGCAGTAAATGGTGTCAACAATCTCAAGTGGAAGACAACGAGCGTGTTCCGCCCGTTTGTGGAAGTGAACGTCATAGGCCCGCAGCTGAGTGATAAGAAGCGCAAATATGCTACAAAGTCTAAAAACAACACGTGGTCTCCAAAGTTTGAGGAAACCTTCAATTTGTGAGTATCTACATGTTCTGTCGAAAGTTCTCATGTTCATTTGACCACTCATTTTCTTCAAATGTGACGAGTGACAGAGTCGTTATGTATGCTCGACGAAGGCAGGTTTCGCCAATATTATTTGTTTCAAAATAAAAAGGGTTGTATTTGTGTTCTTTGTTGACCATTCACGTGTAAACGTATAAATATAAACTAGGAATGGGAGGGAACCGAGTTCCCATATTTGAATTCGATTAAGCTTCAGCACTTTTATGGCATTTCAAAATGTATGAATCTCCGGTGCCGAATCAAAAGCTGAATTTCCTCAGCGAGCGCATGTATTGTGGTGTGCCACATGCACCCCGTGGTTGCCGTGTGACGCCAGGACACAGGTGAGTACTTTGTTCATTATACATTTTAAATGTTAAGTAGCTTGGTAATAGCCAATACATTCATATGGCAATTTGAATTCTCATCAGGCTCCATGGTATAAAGTTTGAATGGCCTCTCTACTAAGTATGTGCTATGAAGAAGGGCCACATCCGGAAATGTCGCCTATTATATAATTTTCTTTTGAAGGCCACGGTGTTATCGAGGAATGTGGAGTTTTTGTTATTTGTCCTCGTGTGCCACTGCCAAGACAGTATAAACAAATAATTTGAAATGTATCTTGAACGATATACGATTAAGTTACGTAGTGTATGATATGTCTTTATTCACCACAAAACGTACTCTCTGGTTCTTCCGGTAAAGTCACGTTGGTATAAAAAAAATCACGACGTTTTGATTGCAACACAAGCAACCATCATCAGTTTTGCAATCGAAACGTCGTGATTTTTTAATTTTATACCTATGTGACTTTACCGAAAGAACCAGAGAGTATGGATTCATGCAGTCACGAAAGCTTCACCACAATACGGTTTTGTAGCATAAGAATTTCAATGCACTAGAATATGGTACGTGGTGTATGTTATTAAATGCTCCAGATAATACATTTTAAATGCATTTGAATGTGTTATGTAGATAATAATGTATTTAAAATCCACTAGATTATATTTTGTAGTGTGACATTTTTTTGTGCACTAGAATTATGTTATGAATTATGTTATTGTAATGCACGGGGATGTAAGTAGTGTATAGTTTTTTAAATGCTCTGAAATATCCGAAGACAGAAAGTACAACACATGGATCAGAGGACATATGCAAGCTAATGACATTGATTGGTGAGAAAAGTAAGTGGACATGCAGATAATATGTTTGCTAAAATAAATGATAGCTGATTAAAGATCGTGGCATCCAAAGGAGAGAACGCGTTGGAGAGGATATTGACAGGGGAGATCGAGAGATGAGATCAGCTCGTATGCAGCTGGGCTAGATCGATTGTTGGGGAGGCTTTCATTCAGAAATGGATAGATCATGACGCCTACCTAAAACCTGATTCCCACCACCATCCATCCCAGAAGAATTCCCTCATAAAAACGCTCCACCATAGAGCTCAATGTATCTCCGACCATGAACACCTAACCAGTGGACTCAAACACGTACACCAAGCTCTCAAGGCGAATGGATATTCTGACTACACAATCCACAAAGCCATCACCCCAACCGTGAGGAAGGAGCCATCTGAGGATCCAATCAAAACCATCACCTTGCCATACATAGCAAGGGTAACTAAAAAGATTTCCAAAATCATGAACAAACACAAGATCCAGGTCCGATTTAACACAGTACATACAATTCGTGATCTGATCCCATCTGTGAAGGACAAGATTCCTGACATGCAATATCCCAACGTTTACAAACTAAGCTGTGTCTGCGGCAGCAGTTACATTGGGGAAACTAAGCGACATGTCTCTGACCGTGTTCGTGAGCTTAAGGCAGATTTGAAACGCGGTTGGACCAATACTTCTGCAGTGGCTGATCATTATTTTAATGCAGCTGGCTCACGCGAAATTGATTTCTCTAAGACGATGGTACTTTGCAAGCCTACTGGCTATCAACAAAGATTAATTCATGAAGCCATCCATATATACAGACACAGACACATTTTCAACCACGAGAAAGGTTATAGACTCAGCAATCATTGGAAAGATGTCATCAACCACTTTGGGTCATGACTTACTTGTGTTTTCTTGTCAATAAACCTCCACCGTCGGCAGTGTGGTTTGTAGAGCAGGGTGCAGTGATTGCCTGGCATCCCTTTGCTGCATTGGCATTGCTGCTGCATTGGCATTGCTGCTGCATTGGCATTGCTGCTGCATTGGCATTGCTGCTGCATTGGCATTGCTGCTGCATTGGCATTGTTGTTGCATTGGCATTGTTGCTGCATTGGCATTGCTGCCCCGCTCATGCTGCTGGTGCTGCTGATACACTTAGGCTACGCCCATCTACAAACCTTTATAAACAGTTTGCCTTTAGAGGCTAACCCCTTTTCCTGATGACGACCGCTTGTGTTGCGATCGAAACGTCGTGATATTTTTATTCACTTTATTTTTATTGTAATTTTTTCTATCTACGTGACTTTACCGAAAGAACCAAAGAATATGAATTACTGCAGTCACGAAAGTTTTAAGTCAAAATTCAAGTAATAAAGTTTCCGATTTGGTTTCAGTTCAGCTGAATTTCGGATTTAACTCGATTGGGATCTGATTGGTTCATCCAATTCCCAGTAGTAACTTCCTCTCCCCAGAAACATTAATCAGGCTCATCATCTTGACATGCTGTAGTCGGTACGTGCCCAATCTCGTCAGATCTTGGAACCAAAGTGTGGTTGAGCCCGGTTATTGCTTGGATGAGCAGCCGCTGTGTATGAAAAAATATGTTATAGAGAGCTGTGGGAGCTTCATTGTCATCAGATTAAATTGCAGAAAAATGCATTGTTGTACTGTATTATACCCTACTCTACTCTCGACCTTCAACCCACACTGATGAGCGTGATGAAGTGTAGTCACATAACTCCCACGCCATGTACGGCATGGGGAGCTGGATTAACAAAGGGCTTCACATATCTCGATACAAATCACATATATGCATTTGTTAAAATGTATATGTTATTTTCATACAATAGAAATCTATTTTGTTTTTAGCAGTTGTATTATTGAATTTGTTGGTGGCATTAAAATTAACCGTGTCCTTAAAATATTTTCTATCTGTTGCAAATATAATAAATCTGTAAATGGGCAATTACCAGATTATAGATGTATTTAAAGAAAGATAAACTCATAAAGATTCAACTGCCAATGTAAAAAGGGCAGAAGCAGGCATTAAAAAAGATAGGCTAATAGTGTCTAGCAGGGAGCTGCTATTGGTAGAGGTGATTGCTCAAAATCTCAAATTGTGTAAAACATCTGAAAGATGTGCTAGGTTAAATCTGAAATTTATATTTTAATGGCTTCAAAAGAAAAACAAGTTTACGCAAAAAAAAGTTTCACATGAGCCTGAATAAATACTTTAAACAATTTTCGATTTAAAGCTTTCGTGACTGCAGGGATTCATATTCTTGGTTCTTTCGGCAAAGTCACGTAGAAGGGAAATAATAAAATAATTGAAATAAAACAATGACATTTTCACGACGTTTCGATTGCAACACAAAGCAATCATCATCAGGTGTGAAAACCACAACAAGAAAATTGGGAGGTTTTTTTTTCTAAATTTTTGAAAAAATAATTCAAGGCAGCAGACATCGTGGCTGTTGCGATTTTCACCTGAAGACCATGGCTTGTGTTGCTATTGAAACATCGCGATTCATTTTGTTTTATTTCTACCTACGTGACTTACCGAAAGAACCAAAGAGCATGGATTCCTGCAGTCACGAAAGCTTCAAATCAAGGAAGTATTTGGGTACTTTCTTCATGTATTCTTAATGTGGTTATTCCAATGAGCAAGGTCGGCTACGTACGGTGCGAAAGAAGTTCAACATACATTTTGTGAATTGATTTTATTGTTATATGTTTTATTCATGCCTGCATTTGTAAGAGATTGAATGACCATCCATTCTAATGAGTCGGATGCTTTTTTTCATTGTATATAAAGGCTTGGTACAATGGCAGTTGAAATGTATCAGTCTTTTTTCGAATCTGATTGATAGTATGTGCATGTGGTCGATTAATCCTTCCTAAATCTGCTATTGTTAGTTGGCCTATATTAGTTCATTATATTGTTCCCAGTGATCTCAGTGAACAACTAAAGAGGCTAATAGGTCACGTGGTTCTTCAAGTTTGTTCTATCTCCTTTATAAAATAAAACAATGATTGGCGCTTCATTCTGTAATTGCGGTAATTGATCTATGTATGAATAATTGTGAAAAAGTCCGTTAATTGCGTGCCAGAAATTAGTCCTGTTTATTTTAAGATGTCCAGAGTTATAACCATCTGGTTCTCGGAGCTTTCCCGTTTTTTTATAAAGCAGTGTTATTGATTAATGCTGGATTTTTTTAAACTACAGGTGGCTAGCCATATTAAAATTCAGATTCTCAACAGCTTCAGCTTTGTACTTCGACATAGTATGAGCCTCTTTTGCCCAACTGGCCAGGCGCAGCAGTATTTTAGTAATTTCGCCTCGTAACCTTTAATTGCATGTCAGAATCGTTGAATAGGTTTTTTAATGTGTTTTTTAAGCGTCTGTGTTTGTGTTGTTGGTATCTCATCACCGACAGCTTGGACTTCCGTCCAACAATGGATATGATGATGACCAACAAATGTGTTATGAGCTAATTTTGGTCAAACGCACGCGGAACATAAATAACGTTTGGAAAAAGAGCAAAGGAAATTCTGCAATGCCCAGTGTAGCTGGAAGAGTCGGTGATGGCCTAAACGTGCGGATTTTTCAGCAATTTAGAATAAATTGGATATATCTTTTCATACATCAGGAGTGCAATGCACAATATAATATGGTATTAACCTTCTTTGGTTCTTTCGGTAAAGTCACGTAGAATGATAATAAAATAATAAATTGATAAAATAAAATAACAATAATATTCTCACGACGTTTCGGCCACAACACAAGCGGCCTTCATCAGGTGAAGGGGACGAGACTGTCTGGAGGACAGCGCTGGAGTGAGAAAGCCACGCTGAGATAACGACCTTTAAGCTGTGTGAGAAGAAACAAAGCGCCTTGACAAAGGAATTAGCATATAATTTAGCATTGAAATGGCTGCTTATTGTGTATTTAAGTACATTAATGTATACGTGCAAGTGCGCGTACATATGCGTTAACAAATAATATCTTCGTGTGCAGTTCCCTGGGAAGTTCAACCGGATTCGAGTTCTATGAGCTGCAGCTGCTCGTCAAAGACTACTGCTTTGCACGTGACGACCGTGTCATTGGACTGAGTGTCCTGCAGCTGCGCGAGATCCAAGAGAAGGGCAGCTGCACGTGCTGCTGCCCCCTACGGAAATCGGTCAATATGGATGAAACGGGACTCACCATTCTACGGATCCTCTCTCAGCGCACGAGCGACGAGGTTGCCAAGGAGTTTGTTCGGCTCAAATCTGATGTCCGGTCCACGGAAGAAGAGAGCTGATAATTTCCATAACTACGCTACTTTTGTCTTCCTGCCATGCCCTGCTGGTGTAAAATATTGCAGAGATTGGTTTGTTTATGGACACAAATTACATTTTCTGGATTCCACGTATAATGAGGTTACTGTGTTTGTATATTCATCGTTCAGTGCCAATATATCCTTTTTTAGCATCATGTATTGTTACACTTTATTGTTATCTGAAGCATTTCAATACATATTTGTTCACACGCATGGACTGTTTAAATGGTTTGTTTGCTGTGTACTTGAAACATTTCTTGTCGTCATGTGTACAAACTTATCCTGAAAATTCCAGGAACTATCATACGATCTATTCTATCCGAGTTGTGTTTTGTCAATGCTGTCTGTAAATATGCTAGTCCAGTTACCTTCCAAAATGAAAATCACTGTGATTCAATAATGAGGAAAGATGATAAATGGAAGTTACAAATCTATTTATCACCACCAAAGTGATAAGATGTGTAAAGTGATGTAGATAGTTGCAAAAGGTTTATGTTGCACTGTCCTTGGTCAAAATTGTGCTTTCACTGGCTTGCATCAAATGTATCTGCCTTATTCTACGACCAGTTACGACGTTCACACATGATACGTGCTTATCATTCTCCTTTTTCAATACGTAACATTTTTTTTAGGGTATGTATGAGCACTTTGAAAGCAGGAGACAGCATCTTAGTTAAATTGCAACCTGATTCATGCCAGGTCGTGTTACTTTTGTTGATCAAAAAAAAGGTCATCTTCAACAATCAATAGCAATAAATTGGTTTGACTTTCACCAAATCAATATATTACCACTTTACATTTCATAAAACATGAAAGTATTAATGCAACACAACAATTATGGGTGCACATTTGACTTGGACTTGAACCCAATTGGATTTTGTGGAACATAAAACACGTTTGATAGATTAAGAACGGTGAAAACACCATCTCCCTTGAGAGAGGCGAGGGGTAGGACCAAGCCTTGCTTCACACGTGAAGGACCGTGGTTGTGTTTTCAGCTTGGGGGAATTATTTTAGTCTTTTTGCGTGTAAAATACTACTTTAAATTTCTAATTGATAATGGGTTCATGAGTATAACTTTTAAAGTAACTATTTTTTATGTAAGAAACCTATATTGACCCCCATTAGGTGGAAATCAACGTGTTATTAATGTCGAACAGAGAAATACGGCTTCGTAACCAGCCAATAATACATCGATTCTTCGTGCGCACGAGAATTGCTTCGTTTCAACCCAATTGAAAATACCCAACGCATGTTGTGTTGATGGAGTTCATGCGACAACCCTTGCAGTGGCTGGAAGGTGCTGCACTGGACCACGACGTGGAACAATTTCATTCTTGAAAATAATCTCAAACCTGACTTGTACGCTCTCAACCCTTGTTCAGTCGTGAGCAACCTAATTCATGCCAGGGTCATATTACATTTTTGAGACAACATGGTCTTGAACAATCAATAGTAGTAAATAGGCTTACAATTTTGTGATATATTAATATTAAATAATTGCAGTTTGGTCTAAATAGTGTGATAGTAGGAATAAATATTGGTCCTGGCTTGGTTACGCTGTTTTAATTTGATCAAAGTTACTCAAATATCTGTTTTACTGAAGAAAAAAAAGTTTACTAAACGGCAGGAAAGTAGTGACATACTTTTCCTTTGTTAGTCAACATATATTGTCATGTAAATTGTGAAATAATTGACGTTTCATCTCAATCAACATAAAAAATAGATTTCGCTGTGAAGTATTCATAGAATCGGGATCACATTGGATCGACGCAGAGATACAAAGTGTAGATCAGGCCTCACGTGGTGGGTATAATCAAACTCGAATTGTGGACACCTAGTAATAATTAGCATTGTACAAAGTCCAATTTTTTTTATGACCGTTAATCGCATGAAAAACATGGTAAAGAAATGGTTACCGGTTTGCCGCACGTAAAAAAGCAATAAACAGGACAACAGCTAACCTAGAAACGAAGGTTACTGACATGGTGTAGCACACTGGATCGCCAGTTTGATTCAATATCCGGGCACGGCAGCTGAAACAAGTGACAAGTTTCTTAAATACCCCTACCACTGTGCACCCAATGTGGTATAAACACCATCAATCAACGGATTCTTGTGTGGTGGGGTAAAGTGTTGGTAACTCCCACCTTTTCCAATGCGTGCGGTCGGCCGGGAAGAGTGCTCCAAATACCCTCTGGAGCTCCCTGTATTGGAGGCCTTTCTGCCAGCATTGACGTGCGCAAACATTACCGGGCTGCACCTTTGCCTTTTAAACGTACCACGCGGAAACTTGGACCTACCGCTGGTAATTCGAAATGGCTACCACTAACCAATCACAGTCACACGCGCCATGCAGTTTAAATAATCGCACGTACCCAATCTATACATTACCAAAATTCCACTGGATTAGATTAATGATTCCTGACTTTATCAATTAATAATAGTAATAATGCTATTGACAGTTATAATACAACACATCGCCATGATGATGTTTTCGAAGTTTTGATCCTTACGATTTAGATCCTCAGCAATTACAACTTCTGTAAATATTGTTAGGAAGATTGCTGTTTTTTTAGAAACAGTAATTTAATTGTTTTTCCACTGGTTATGCGGTTAATTATAAATTGGAGGGCATATTTACTTAAATATTAATTAATTTAAATGTTTGAAGTTAGGAGTTGTATAAACGGTCAGTGTTTTTTTAAGTTCTATGATTTTGTAAGGCTTTTATTTTAGGGATTTGAGAAAAAAACTTATTTTTTTTATACGGATGATAATAAATAACAGTATTAAAGTCTTCATTTCAATTCATCACATCTGTGACTCGGTAAAAAATAAATGTATTTGGCTAAATGCGGTTTTGTGAAGAAAAAAAGTAAATTTAAACTTTAGAGGAAAAATCAAAGTCCCGCTGTTGCAGAATGAGCAATATTGCACCATTAATGTCTATTGATGGTCTTGCACCAGCAGTGGAAATTGTTGTGGCAGGGTCTAGGCCCCTAGAACGACCAAAGTGGTACTACTATTGAACGTGAATGGATGATGATATGCTGAATTGACCCCTGCAGAGATTTCAGCTCAATGTATGTTATGATGAAGAACAAACATGCTTTGGCTCGATACCTTCCAATTGAGCCAAGTGGTCTAACTACGGCAGCTGCCACTAAAGTCGATCACTGTTTTTAAAGTGTTCAAAACAATCACTTAATTGTGTTACATTATTTTGTACATACGATAGCATGTGAAAAGCCTATTGGTTGGGATGCTCAGTGCACAATGGTTTGATTCTGAAAGCTGCATGGTAATTGAGAGAATTACTAAAGCACATCCATCATCTGCTGTGTAGAATACAGTAAAGATCCTGTGACATTATTTGCAATAAAAGGTCACTGTTGGTGTAAAAGCGATTATTTTAAATTACAAACCGTCTTCAAAGTATTTGATAGTGCTCATCTTCTTTGGCGGTCCTGACCTAATAGATTACATTCCATATTCCTATGTTGGAGCAGTCTACTTATAAAACAACCATTAAAAAAATAAATACCTACAAAAGTGATCCAGTATGCAAGTACAGACATCAAGGTTTACTGAAGAAAAAATAAAGGTCAATAGTTCCTTGCCAGGCTTCCCAAAGGAAGTTGTGTTTGTAAAATGTAGAGTATCTGAGAAATATTGGCACACATTTTCTGTTATTAGACCGCATGCAGATGTGGCTTCCGATGATGTACATTTAATTTGTAAAGCAATTTTATTATGGTTAATTGGAATGCATATACAGTACCTTCTAAGCATTTTGTGTCTTTGCACGCAGCTTCTATGCATGACATGCTGGACTGTTTGTCTACACTCATAGTTTATTCTTGTATATGGATTTATTTAAACTGTGAGGCGATTCATTTGTTGTAACTAATGAAAATTAAGTTCATTGCACCCATCCCATGTTAACTGTTTGTGGAGCTTCAGAATTGCATTGTTACTTTATGTTGTATGTAAAAAAATTGTATTGTTATTAAAATATTAAATGAATGCATGTTGAATGCAAAAGATGCAATGTTTTTGTGGGTTTATTTTAACATTTAATGTCCCTGGAGATCTTATGTCCATGACAAAATCACCGAGGATGTTCCTGGTCTTTTCTAAGCAGCGTTGAGCGTGAATGGTGCCATGGATTGGCAACCACCATGCACAACCAATGTGATGGGCAGCAAAATATATTATTGTATTGTACTTCTATGCTCCCCTTGTGGATGGGAATAGATCACATGACATGACCGCATTTCAAGGAATGAAATAAGGAATGGTATGAAAAAAATTGGCCAGAATAAAAAAACAAAGCAGTTTTTTGCTTCAATATATCCCACAAGATTTTGGTGACAATTCAGAATATCACAACATATAAAAATTGTAGAGCCACCATCTTGTACAAGGGGAGCACGTGGAGCAGGAACCACTGACCATTTTGAGAAGTGTGACGACATTCAGTGAACTTTTAGAAAACTAAAGTGGAAAAAAACTTGCAGGGGGTGGGGTTGCTGAGTTTGACCTCTTTTAAGAATTAAAGGTGTTAAATCGTATGACAGCACAAAAATCATGTTATACATTTATTCACCTTCTGAACTTTGACCGTCTCTTCCAATGACATTTTCAGTCAATGTGTTGGCATTTTAATGGTTAAAAGCACGTAATAGCACATATTTGTCAGCCTCAATGGCACTGATCATTCCACACTGCCTATAGCCAAATCATGATCCACTGATATATTCGTGAACGTTAGCATGTTAGATTGAGTTAACCCATGTTATCCATTTATCCACTCCGTAATGGTCCTGTTCTGCCAATACCTAGGGTTACAGGGTAGCTAGAGCCACCTTCCATCGCTTACTGTGCCACATTTGACATGCTTCAATTCATAATTATTGGGTAAAACTGCTTTGAATGTAATGGAACTCACGTGCAATTATTTGAGCAGGGTTTAAATCTCTCTAATACCACGGCTTGAGTTAATATTACTTATGGCCTATAACTCCATGTACTGTAAGATATGGATGTGCACAACTTTCAAGGATATCCTCATCATCAGAAAAGTTAATGTCCCCAACTCACGATCTTACAAGGTTCTGCTTAATAAATGGTGTTGTCTTTTCGCACGTATGCGCCCACCCTACCTGCCACAATGTTCCACAGTCTCCTTCCGCGGTACTCGGCCCACCACAAGTGAGAATTTCCTCTTCCAGACCACGAAGGGGTCTGATGAGCTCTGCCTACCAGGGATGGGAACCTTTTTTCTGCCAAGAGGCATTTGGATATTTATAACATCATTCGCGGGCCATACAAATTTGTCAACTTAATTAGCCTGTTACATTTGGTCAAACATTAAATTAACTCACCCCTAATGCGATGGCTGGAACTGCTTCTCTTTGGCGAGGCGTGTAATGATGTTAACTGGTATTGATGATGTTGCTACTCGCAACTGCTTTTCCAGGTTTGCTCCTAGATTTATTGAATTTCGAGTCCCGCCTGCGGTTGCCTTGGCAGGGCCAGCAGACTAAATGATTTCGCGGTCTTATACGGCCCGCGGGCCGGACGTTCCCCACCCCTGGTCTACACCAACAATAATCACCATTTGCCACTATGCGGCAGAGACTATACCACGGCTCTTGTGCCAGGCTATGTGCACTTTGACGCCACTTGAAGTAATAAACGCTCGCTGGCAGGTAACGGGACAAACCCACGTGCCATGGAGTTAATTGGACTGAGATAACTGGCAAATGCACCACCTGTGCCGACACCTGCGAATGAGGCACAGCCACCTTGCAACAATGATTTCAGACTCCTTGGGAGCATCAGTTCCCAAGTTGTGCTGTCGAGTGTGTTCTATTCAATAACCGTTCTTATTTTATTCATCAAGGACGAGTATCCTGAATCATTGATAAAGATCGTAGTAGAAATTCAGCTCCACTTCTTGCTCATTAACATGATAAAATCAGGCATTAACAACGCCATCGGGCTCTAAACAATAACACTTTTCTAAATATAAATTACAATTGTAGTATACTTTTTTATTTACCTGGGCTTCCGCCAGCTGCACATTCAACCAACCCTGAACACGTGTAGACTTATTTGTCGGGGTGAGTGTACTAATATATTTGTTTAACGCTTTGCCTATTCACCAAACTCTCCCTGCTTATTCCAGACCCAGGGGTCGGAAACCAAAAATGACAGGAGACAGTTTTTGTTCGAATTCGATAAACGACCCCCCCCCTCAATATTTCAAGAGCCGCATTGCCATGTGCATTCGAGACGTGGTCCTTTATAAATTACATCAAGCATCTGTCCTTATGGAACCGCATGCGGATCCGGTGCGCCTCGATCCTTCACTCCTTGTTGCTCTTCATTTGACTCAACCATCATCCCTGCAGCCTTTGAGAACATTCCCGTAGCCACCAGTCCCTTCGCACTCACAGCTGATACCCCTGTCATTACTTCGCTTATTCCACCAGTCCCGTTGCACTCACAGCTGATACCCCTATCATCACCTCCCGTGGCCACCAGTCCCTTCACACTCACAACTGATACCCCTGTCATTACCTCCCGTAGCCACCAGTCCCTTTGCACTCACAACTGATACCCCTGTAATCACCTCCCGTGGCCAGCAGTCCCTTCGCACTCACAACTGATACCCCTGACATCACCTCCCGTGGCCACCAGTCCCTTCGCACTCACAACTGATACCCCTGTCATCACCTCCCGTGGCCACCAGTCCCTTCGTACTCACAGCTGATACCCCTGGCATTACCTCCCGTAGCCACCAGTCCCGTCGCACTCACAGCTGATACCCCTGTCATTGCCTCCCGTAGCCACCAGTCCCTTGCCACTCACAACTGATACCCCTGACGTTACCTCCCGTGGCCACCAGTCCATTCGCTCTCACAGCTGATACCCCTGTCATTACCTCCCGTGGCCACCAGTCCCTTCGCACTCACAACTGATAGCCCTGTCATTACTTCCCGAAGCCACCAGTCCCTTCGCACTCACAACTGATACCCCTGTCATCACCTCCCGTGGCCACCAGTCCCTTCGCACTCACAAGTTGAACATGAAATTTAACACTCTTCTGAAATTCGTGGTCCGCCAGGAAGTGTCTGTGTTGTTGGCCTGATTGGTTGTGCTTCACATAATGTTTTTTAGGTTTGTTGAATTCTCGTCACTCATCTTTTTTGTTGTATTTACCTCGATGATTTGTTCTTTCCATGATTTGTTCTTGACACCTGATGAAGATCGCTTGTGTTGTGATCGAAACGTCGTGATTGTTTTGTTTTAATATAATTTTATTGTATTTCTACATATGTGACTTCACCGAAAAAACCAATGATTAATTTTATGCAGTCACGAAAGCTTTAATACCTTATCAACACACTTCTACGGGGAAGTTACCGTTGCATGTCTGTCCTAAATGTGCACCCCAAACCTGTCCCCCCCCCCCCCCCCCCCCCGCTTCTGTGTATATGCAAAATGTGCTATTTTTGAGCTGCCGCAAGATGAGCTGCCACTCGCTTTCTGGCCCCTCCCCCCCCAACCTTATTTCCTATTTAAGCTGCTGTTCATCCCTCTCTCTCTCCTTGCCTCTGTCCGTCTTTCCTACTGACCATGTACCTCGTATTTTCACTATCTATGCTGTTTTTTTGCAATCGAAAAGTTGAACATGAAATTTAACACTCTTCTGAAATTCGTGGTCCGCCAGGAAGTGTCTGTGTTGTTGGCCTGATTGGTTATGCTTCACATAATGTTTTTTAGGTTTGTTAAATTCTTGTCTCTCATCTTTTTTGTTGTATTTACCTCCATGATTTGTTCTTTCCATGATTTGTTCTTGACACCTGATGAAGATCGCTTGTGTTGTGATCGAAACGTTGTGATTGTTTTGTTTTAATATAATTTTATTGTATTTCTACATACGTGACTTTACCGAAAAAAACAATGAGTACTGATACACGTGGCAGGGAAGAGGCCGATGCTGTAGGCTGCCTCCGAACTGTTTTATATATTGTTATAATTAAAAATAATAATCAAATAATACACACAAAAACATTTCAATGTGAAAAGTATGTTAATGTATGTCATTAAGTGTGATTAGCTAGAATGTGTGTTAAGTGTAATTAAGAATGTGCGTGTTAAACATTCATGATTAATGTGTGTGATTATGTGTATGTGATTATGTATGTGTGTGATTATTATGTGTGATTATGTATGCGTGATTATGTGTGTGTGTGTGTTTATTATTGGCTCTCTCATTGTCTAGGGGTATGTATCACCAATCGTGATACATAAGTGATTCTCGGTTTACCATTCATGATTCTCGCCTTAACAATTATGATGTGTAATTATGTCAGGTCTCGAGATTCAGATCTCACCGCAAGATTACAATTCATCATTACGACAATGATGCGCGAATCTAGGAAAGAAGAGTGCGCTGTTTTTAGAGTCTACGCCTTATGGTGTCATCTGGTCCAACACCAGTGGAGACTAGGCTCTAAGAAAAGCCGTCTCGGGTTTGGACCAATCAAATTCAAGGACAGTGCATATCATTATTAGAGTTGTTTCTTTTTGTTTGCATTTTTGACTGCTTTGTGTTGTGGTTATTGCAAACATGATCCCTTGCATAAAGGTGTCAGTTTTTGTGCCAGCTAAAAGGGTAAAAACCTATTACTATTACCACTCGGAACCTGTTTTTAATCAAAGCAACTTTAATCTCACTTCCTCTAACATCCACCTCTTATCAACAGAAATTCATAGCAACGACAGCACCCACGTAACTATACGTACTCATCAACCCGTATGAAATGACAAAAAAACAAGCATTGGCTAATATTCACGATCACGTAACAAAAACATGAGGCAGACCCTAAAATAGCAATATTTGTAACGGAATGCGTGTCCACAAAAGATGATGCACATCAAATGGTCAGAAGGACATCAACAATCGCATCTCACGATCACGTGATCAAGAATACTTACAGGCGAACCCATAACAGTATCAATGTCAGCATTCGT